GTATATGATGATCAGTTTATGTGATTTTTATTTTTCTTTAGGGATTTTGTGGCTCACTTTATTTTGCTTTCGACATGATCCATGTAGCGGATGGTCAATCAGTATGCTTAAGTCAGATGACTGGAAGCAACTGGGTGATGAGGCACCCCTGGGGAAATACTGATCCGAATCATGAAGGCTCCAAAGATAAGCAAGGATAGCAAACCATCACAACCTGTTGACTCGAACCTCGACGTTGGTTAGACAAGAGGCCCGGTTACTGAGCAATGAGAAGTCACCACCTTTTCATTATTATTATTTTTATTTATAAACAGATCAAGAACTTACGCACAGTAGTGTTATGGCAATCCAAAGAGAGACAAGTGCATGAGAGGAGATATTCAAGGAACTTCAAAGAAAAGAGTGTGGTGTGCAATTAAATAAAAAAATTGATGGATAGATCATTTAATGAAGTTTATCATGCACCAAGACAATGGAAACCTGTGTGGGAAGCTGTGAGTGTGTGTTCTCAATAGAGTGCAATGCCAGAGCCCAATCTAAGATCATCAAATACGTTCAGACAGCTACAGGATTGATACGACCTAACAATCCTTGCACAAGCTGGACAGATTTATAAAAACAGAAAGTAATTTAAATATTGTTAAACATAGAAGAGGCTTTGGCATACAGTAGACTCCGAATTAATCTAGAGCACAGATACCTAAAGATTGCCTAAGAGTGTCATATTGATGATTATCTAAAGTTTTTGCAACAAGACATTTAACATCCAAATTCTCTAAAACAGCAGGTTCATGCACAATATTAGTAGAGGCAATGAAACGCATGTGAAGCAAAGCATGGCAGGGACAGAAGCAAAACATCACACGAGACGCACAAACTCACAGAGGAAAAAGGAGTCATGGTGAAAAATAAACAACACCAAATGAGTCTACCAACAAGAAGCAATGGTGTGAAGTGAACTCTGTTCAATTAAGCACAAAGAATATGTCCACCCAAGACTGACCCCACCGAAGATAACACATACACTGAGTGCATAGAAAGTATATGATGATCAGTTTATGTGATTTTTATTTTTCTTTAGGGATTTTGTGGCTCACTTTATTTTGCTTTCGACATGATCCATGTAGCGGATGGTCAATCAGTATGCTTAAGTCAGATGACTGGAAGCAACTGGGTGATGAGGCACCCCTGGGGAAATACTGATCCGAATCATGAAGGCTCCAAAGATAAGCAAGGATAGCAAACCATCACAACCTGTTGACTCGAACCTCGACGTTGGTTAGACAAGAGGCCCGGTTACTGAGCAATGAGAAGTCACCACCTTTTCATTATTATTATTTTTATTTATAAACAGATCAAGAACTTACGCACAGTAGTGTTATGGCAATCCAAAGAGAGACAAGTGCATGAGAGGAGATATTCAAGGAACTTCAAAGAAAAGAGTGTGGTGTGCAATTAAATAAAAAAATTGATGGATAGATCATTTAATGAAGTTTATCATGCACCAAGACAATGGAAACCTGTGTGGGAAGCTGTGAGTGTGTGTTCTCAATAGAGTGCAATGCCAGAGCCCAATCTAAGATCATCAAATACGTTCAGACAGCTACAGGATTGATACGACCTAACAATCCTTGCACGAGCTGGACAGATTTATAACAACAGAAATTAATTTAAATATCATACAGCATAGAAGAGGCTTTGGCATGCAGTAGACTTCGAATTAATCTAGAGCACAGATACTTAAAGACTGTCTAAGAGTGTCAAATTGATGATTATCTAAAGTTTTTGCCACAAGACATTTAACATCCAAATTCTCTAAAACAGCAGGTTCATGCACAATATTAGTAGAGGCAAACATACAGTTATGATTTTCCTTTTTCTTCCAAATTAACTTTGTCTTAGTTGACGGCAAACAATGAAAAGAAGATAGTTTGGATAAGTTGTTTACCTCTTTCATAAGATTTGAAATCTTATGTTGGATACTTACTTTTCCACCCATGACATGAGAATTTGCACGAACAAATTCTTTTCGGAGCTTATTGCATCTTGGTCTTATGTGCCCACGAGTTCCACAAAAGTGACAAATTGGAATGAATTTCTTGACTTCATGAGCGGCAGAAGGTTCAATAGATGAAGATGATTTGACAAACTTTGTTTTAGACACAGCGGAAGACTTATTACTTGGTTCAAATCCCAAGCCTCGTTTGTCACCATCTCTTCTTCCCATGCTAATCATCTTGTCAATTTTTTCTGCACCAATGGTTAAAGAAACAATCCTTTCCTTTGAAGTTTTAAGTTCAAGTTCAAGGGCTTTGTTGTCAGAAGTTAGAGATGCAATTAATTTATTCTGATCAGTCAATTTCTTCTGTAAAAACATCAATTTTTGGTTCATACCTGCACTTACCTTTTCGGAATTTGTGTCAGGGGATTGAAACTCATTTGCAATCCTGCAATTTTCCAGCTTCAACACAGCCATGGATTTTACGAGCTCTTCATTTTGTTTGCTAAGTTTCTGAGAGGCAGCCAACAAATCATCATATTTGTTCATGATAAACTCAACATCCATATCTTCACAATCATCATCCTTCTTCGTTGGTTCATCCAAGCTTACAGTCGTGATAAGCGCAATGGCCTTCTCATTATTTTCACTGTCACTCCAAGTAGTATGCATTGCCTTATTTTTGCCATCCTTTTGTTTCTTTAAGGTGTTGGCACATTCGAAAGATATGTGTCCATAGCCTTCACATTCGAAACATTTGACCTTTTCTCTTGGATTCTTTCGTTCATTTGACCTGCGAAATTTAGACCCATCATCAGTATAGTCAACAAATCTATTTTTAGAATTTATACCTTTTGAATCTCGACTCCTTGGATCCTGATTCTTGAGAAAGTTCATGAATCGTCTTGTGAGAATCGTTAATTCCTCATCACTGCAATCTTCATCTGAATGCCCATTAACTTCTTCATTCACAACCTTGAAAGCAACACTTTTGCTTTTTTTAGGAGCTAGATGTTTCATCTCATAGGTTTGTATGGAGCCTATGAGTTCTTGAACTTTCACGGTGTTCAAGTCACGGATCTCTTCAATAGCCGTGATCTTTGGTTGAAACCGTTGAGGTAAGGATCTCAAAATCTTTTGTGATCTTTGGTTGAAACCATTGAGGCAAGGATCTCAAAATCTTTTTCACAACCCTATCTTCTGGAATTTTTTCACCTAAACTTGAACAAGCATTCACAATTACACAAAGTTTAGCATAAAATTCAGAAAAAGTTTCATTCTCATCCATCGTGAGTGTCTCAAACTGTAAAGTATGCATTTGAAGCTTGGCTCCCTTGACAGTATCTGTTCCTTCATGAGTAACCTGCAAAATATCCCAAGCTTCCTTAGAAGTATCACAACCAGATATATATTCAAATTGATCAGAAGACACAGCAGTAAATAAAGCATTTAACCCCTTTTGATTATTAGTGCTACGTGTGACTTCTTCAGTGGTCCACTCCTCTCTGGTTTTGACAACTGTGGTTGCTTCATCTCCTTTTCCGATCTTCTTTGTGGGTTTAGGAAATCCATGAACCACTGTATTCCATACACGTTCATCTAAGGACCAAAGAAACGACTTCATCTTAGCCTTCCAAGCACCATAGTTGTGGCCATCGAAATATGGGGGATGTGCAATAGAACCCGCGGCACGATCCATCCTCAGGTATGTTAGATCTTGCTGAGTATGTCCAGCAACCTGCTCTGATGCCAATTGAAAATACCTGTAGGATGTCTATATATGCCTAGAGGGGGTTAATAGGCCAATTTAATATTATAATCAAATAAATAAAAATAAACTTTGATAGCAGGATTGATATGGTTTATCAATCCTGAAACGTGCTGGAAATAAAATAAAAGAACACAGAGAGAATTATTTTACGTGGTAAAACCCCACCTCTGGGGAAAATCCACGGGACTCCTCAGTCCAACACAAATCCACTATAGAACGATGATTACAAGAAGTACTCACACACTTATCCTAGACACATTCTAGATAATGTTTACCGACTCCTTCGTAACTCAACTTCTGTCACGGGATGATCTTCGACACTCCTTATGTTGAACGCAATACTGGTCACGATTGCTTCAAGCTCGCCGGAGGAAAACCGCCACCACGGTCTTGGTGCCCTCAATCGTATGAGTCACCGACATGCATATGAATGCAATATGAATAAAGAAAAGATTTGATAAATCATCAAGTAAACAAGGAACACTTGATGATTTATCTGGAAAAATATGCACACAGCTTTTGCATAAGAAAGTAAAATATGCTTTAAAATTGAAACGTCAAAAGCCACTTGAAAGCAACAGTAGACACTTCTATTTATTCAATACGAGTTTGTTCTGCAAGGAGAGAAACCTCAAGGACCAGAACTTCTATTCAATTAGGACTTCCAAACCTGATCCAACAAGGTTTCTGCATAAGGCGCCAACACCTCAGCTTACCAAAAGCTATCCAATTATCAATATGACTCCTGACCCAAATAGGAATGTAAATCCTAATTCAATGTGGTGTCTTTGTGAAGAACACCAATCAGCTATTTTTACGAATAAAGAATTCTCTCCTAAAACAAGGTAATTAGGAGATACACAAAGGGCACGTCACTGTAAACAAAAACTAATAATTCAACCTAACTCATAGTGATCATGAAAAAAAACTTCAGCTGTAAAATCTATTTTGAATGCATGATTGTGTGATGATTTACCTGTTGTCAAGTTTCTCATATGGTCAGGTCAAGCCTCGGAAGTACGTGGTTGAAAGAATTGAGCCAAACGTGTCCAGTGACAATTCGTTACAAACTAATTTTCAACCTATGCTAAAGTCTAGGAAATGACAATACAAATTTCATACTAACACCACCTCAAAACAAGAGCGCACCCACACCTTCTCATGCTTAGATGGTCCCTTGAAGGCATTCTTAAAATCCACCAGGAAGTTTGTAAACTATGCTATGAGAACATGTATGGAAGCGGCTGTTTCTATTATTGTGAGCCTTGCCATTACATTGCCCACAATAGATGCGCAGTTACGGTGGACATTGATGACCTTGATGATGACGAGATGATTGAAGAGGCGTCGAATGTTGATTATCCCATTAATCCTGATGTGCAGGCACAACAGATCACCAATGAGGATCTACATGAACAGATAGAGCACTTTAGTCATCAACATTTGTTAACCCTCATCAGCGGTCATCATGAGGTAATTAAATATGACGGTGATGATAATAGTACACTTAATTGTGACGGTTGCATGAGACCCATTTCCCCCACGGATGCCTTTTATAGATGCATGCAACAACAACAAGAAGAACAACCAAACTGTCATTTCTTTCTTCATACAAACTGTGCTCGATTACCCACAAAGATGCGTCTTCGATTTCACCCAGAACACCCAGTCACACTTCTCTCAAAAGCGCCTTCTATTGATGGTGTGTTTCAGTGTGACATATGCAACACTTTTAGCCAAGGTTTCGTCTACAGTTGTAAACAATGTTCTTTCTACCTTGACCTTCAATGCAAATTTCTTCCGGACTCGCTTAAACATGAGGCTCACGACCATTGCCTCATCCTAAACAGAAGATCGATGCATTGTGTTGGTTGTGGTTGTAGACCAAATTTCTTCTTCAGTTGCATGTATCTAGGATCATGTGTGTTCTCTATTTATTGTATTAACTATGTCAAACTGCCTGTTATCGCTAGGCATAAATATGACAACCATCCTCTCAAACTCACATATGATAGTGTTACAAACGATGATGATGAATATTATTGTGAAATTTGTGAAGGAGAACGAGATCCAAAATATTGGTTCTACTGCTGTGAAGACTGCGACTTCGATTTCCATCCTGACTGCGTTATGGGGAGGTATTCTAAAATCAAGTTAGGAAGCACTTACAAGCATGATGCTCACCCACACCCTGTCACCCTTGTTGATAAGATAAAGAGTGTCATTCCTAATGACAAGCGATACGAAGATGTTAGTCCTTGTGAGGTGTGTCATGAACCTTGCGAAGGATTGGTGTAGAATGTTCAGAATGTAATATAAATATCCACCAAAACAGATGTTGCAACTTGCAAGAACAAGCAATAGCGATGGAAGGCGGCAGGCCAGCCAGACTTTAGATTTGTGCGCAAAAAAAAAGTGGGTCTTTAGTGCATGCTAAGCAATTGTGGATATTAAAATTGCTTGTTGTACAGGTGAAAAATTTGGGAAACGAGCAAATTACAAGGGAGACTCTGCCGAATTTTTGGCAGGAGTCAAACTTGAAGAAAAAGAATTTAGGAAACTAAAAGGGCATTTTGGTCACGGGTGCCCGACATCTGCCAGGTGTCGGACACGCACAGGGCTTGGCTCAGATTCCAAAGTGGAATTTGGGTCGGGTCCTGTCATTTTTAATATGAAAAAGTGTGAATTTACCATATTATCCTCATTTAATAATTTCAATTATTAATATTTGCATTAACCAAGAGCATTTTATGGTATTTTGAATGTTTTACCATTCTCTGCCTTTTGCTTTATATATATATTGACTTAAAAAATAATTTAAATTGACCGAAAACATCACCAAGCTCAAGTAAGGGCTAAATTGACTGAAAAAATAATTCAGGGTGTTACAATGATCAAATTGTATTTTGCCAACCAAATGGAGATAACCATAAAAACATCACCAAGCTCAAGTAAGAAGACCAGTGAAATTAAAACAAACTAATGAAGATCAAATACAATTTCGGATAAATTAATCAAAGCCTAAAAGGTTTCAGAATTGAAATACAATTCCGTCCATTGCCGTCCCATCATTTTTGCTGCTAATGGAAGGCCACCACATTTTAGTTTGATTTCCAACTTCAGATCATCCAAGTTTGAGGCATTCGACAGAGCCCGAAAATCCTCAACCCGATCATCCTCAATCCGATCATCCGCAACCCGATTAGCCTCAACCGTGTCGTTGAAAATTGCCCAGCAGCTTTCGGGGTCTGAAAGTGGCAAAAGGTGGTGTATATTTTTCTCCCCAACCATCATCTTTGCTACTTCTTCATTCCTGCTTGTAGCTATGACTCTTCCCCCATGGCCTTTTGGAAATCCAAATGCAAACCCATCATCCCATTTCTTATCACGGCTCAAACAAGAATCCAACTGTCCGTACCATGAATCGGTCTCCCTAGCACCATCAAGCACAATCAGATACCTCTTGCCCACCAATTGCTGGTAGAGAGCACACAGCAGTCCTTCAAGGCCGCGCTTCTCATCGAAAATGGACTTCACCGCCTCCTTTCCAACTCCAAGGTACACCAACATTCTTTTGACAATTGCTACTTTCAGATCTTCATCTTCGTGACCGTCCGGGTCTCTGGCCATGCACACCCAGATCCTTGGAAGGAAGTTGTCTTTCACCTCTGGTTTGTTGAATACCAATTGGCAAAGTGTTGTTTTTCCTATCCCTTCCCTACCAACAACGCCTATTGCCTTGAATCGATCTCGACTTTCTTGTTGGACAAGCAACTTTTCCATTGACAACACATCATCGTCAAATCCGTACACCTTGGATGCATCCACTGAACGAGTTGTCCACCTCAAAAGCTCTCTGTCCTTTGAGCTAATGGAATCAACATTACTCACATGTTGTTCATCACTGCTCCGATTCGATCCTCTATTACTGTTTCCTATGATAGTCTTGAGGTCCTTTTTGATCTGTTTTAACTCCATTCTGATTCTGTTGATTGTGAGTAACTCCTCAGGAGAGTAGAAACCGTGTTTCCTTGATAGAATCCGGCACTCAGTCAAAGCATTGTTGAGGTTGTATAGCTTGTCCCTGAGTTGTTGATCTACAAGCGAGGATGACCCGAAAATTTCTTTAAGCACTGTTTTTATTGCTTGAAATTGGCTGTACCTGGGAATCTTGGAGATACTACTTTTGTCATTCCCATCAAGACCATTCTCGAATTGTTCCATTAGATAATGTTCAATTTCTTGAGCCATAGCACTCTCTCTCTCTCTGCAACTCTCCTTTATCTGTACATTCAAATTCTAAGGGTTAGTTAAAAAAAATTCAGCTAGGCCCTTGGATTTCTCTTTAAAAGCACAAAAATGTAGATAAAAAGAAAGAGGGAAACCTGATGAATTCGAAAACCAAGCTGAAAACACTGAGGAGAGTCTCGTGACCACAGCTAACAAGCAGAAGAGTTTGTTTTGTTTCTAGACCATGGATTAGGGAAAGAATGAATTCTTGAAGGAGCCAAACAATGTTCTTTTTAAAAGAGAATGTGTCATTGTTACACTAGTATATCATGCTCAAAGTGTAGTGAACAAAACAAGTCATCCCGTTTCTCTTTTCCTTTTTCTTTTCCTTTTCCTTTTTCTTTTTCTTTTTTCTTTTAAGATGGTATCACTTTTGCTTGTAAATATTCATTACTTGTAAAATGTGCCTTGTTACACTAGTATATCATGCTCAAAGTGTAGTGAACAAAACAAGTCATCCCGTTTCTCTTTTCCTTTTTCTTTTCCTTTTTCTTTTTCTTTTTCTTTTTCTTTTTCTTTTTTCTTTTAAGATGGTATCACTTTTGCTTGTAAATATTCATTACTTGTAAAATGTGCTGATCAGCTGAATACATACATATGACCAATAAAACCAGAGCTTGGAACGCATAGTTCTGTTCTTGGGACGTTGCTTATATTTTGGAAAATTGATGGTGGGGATTTGTGTCAGTTTGTAAGATATCTTGTAAATAAAGTTACTTTTATTTTCAGACGAAAGGAAAGCACTGATCTCAATCAAAATTCATGAAATTGTGTTTTGACAGTATCTATTGGCCCTTTGAACTTGCAATGTGTTTCCTGGAAGAAAGAATCGATTCACTTGGTTAGAGAGTGCAAGAGAAGACAACAGGGAAGAGAAGAGAGAAGGGAAGGAGGAAGGAGCCTGTGGGTGGGGTAGTAGAGATGCCCTTGAAAAAATGGTGCACATTAGGACATGGCACATCAACTTGCCCCATTTTTTCTTACTTTGTACGTAGTTTTTGGTCTACATCAGAACCGAACCGGCTAGGCTGTTTGAAAGATTGATTCTCAGATTTTCCAAAATGAGTAATTTCAGATGAATTGGCTTTTTCCAAACATAAAGGAAGAACTGTACATTGAGAACTGCACGATGACTTCTTCAGCAGATTGGGGTGTGTCAATAAAAGCTCCATTTTATTCACGTGTATAAAGTTTGCATATGAACAATGAAAGGGCTGAAAAAAACAAAATCACATTTTTTGTTAGTGAAATCCCAATCACCAGACTCGAACCGAGGCTCCAATTTGATTAAACCATATTGTTAACACATACGCGCTCGCACAGACATGGTACGTGGAGTCCATCTTATATACATAATAAAGAAAAGAATTGTTTCCTCCAATAATAAAACATCACTCTTGACAATAAGTTTCCATGAGATTTATTGTACACAAGTAAACCAAATCTCATGAGAAGACAAATCACATAATTTTACAACCTCTTCTATGGAAAAGTAATTGCAAACAAAAAGAAAGACTGAACAAAAAATTAGTGTATATTATTGGACAAACCTTGTTCAATATTGTGAGCACTTGAATGGTGTGAATGCATCATACCAAGATTTCCAGTAGCTTTGATTCCATTTTGCCATTTTAGGGCTTCAGCCATACTCCACTCTCATCTGTTGGGAAGAAAGTGAGCCTAGGACATCTAAATTTCTCCAAGTAAATCAAGTCAGGAAATGAAACTGGGATTTCTTTCCAATCCATCTCTAGTTCACTCAAGAACTTCAATCGCAGTGTCTCAACTGCCCACTTGTTGTCGTTCTCCTGAACTTTAACAAGATTTCGGAGTTTTCCTCCTCTAATGTAGAGTTTCTTTAGGCTCTTAAGCTTTCCAGGCCTCAACCAACTGGGTGCTGTCTTCTGAGGGTAGCACTGCAGGTCCAGTTTCTCTAGATCTAATGTCGACCTAAGCGCCAAGGTAGCAGTCGACCTACGCGCCCCTCTGAATGCTGGCAGTTTACAGAACAAACGATTTTTTGTGATAGTTGGTGGTGTTTCCGGCTGTGGTGCAGCATTGTGTTGAGTGCTTCTTGTCGTGGGTTGAGCAGCAACATTATCTGGCTCAATGCCTTTATCCTGAGTGGTGGCTGGGGGGGATAACCGTCCCCATTCTATCGTTAGCTTTCGAAGCCATCCAAATTGTTGTAAATCAACGAGCTCATCTTCTGAGGGAAAATCCGCCCTACTTGTGTGGATTGACAATTTCCTCAACTTCTTCAGTGCTGACAAATCATGAAAAGTACATGAAGTATCATTCTTATCATGAACACCAACTACGAATCCTTTAAGAACTTGGAGTTCTGAAAGGAAGGCAATCCCCTTAGGCATGCGCTCCAGCAAGTAACACTCAGACATATCCAAGTGTGTGAGATTCTTAAGTGAGCCTATTGTCTCTGGAAGTAGCTCTAAATTCGGACATGCTCCAAGATCCAAGATCCTCAAACTAAGAAGCTTGCATACTGAATCAGGAAGTTCCATAATCCTAGATACTCCTTGCAGACTGAAAATCCTCAAATGTGTCAAATGGATCAACCCTCTTAAGAATTCAGTGTCATCTACTTCAATGTGATGCTTAGCCCTGCTGTGCCACCTTCCAAGATGAAGAACCTTCAGATTCCTCAACTTAGACCAGTCCACATTGGAAAAATCTGGATAAGACTCGTTCACATTGAATACGGTCTGCAGCATTTTTGGATCTAAATCATGTGGTGTATTTGCCGTATTTTGATCCGAATCATGTTGTCTATTTGCCGTATTTTGATCCGAATCATGTGGTCTATTTGCCGTATCTTGATCCGAATCATGTGGTATATTTTCCGTATTTTGATGCAAATTACGTGGTCTATTCTTCCCCATCAGATGACGAGAGTCCTCCGCACAAAAATCCCGATTAACCAAACACGCCCGATAAGAATGCGATGAAAAATTGGCCGTGGGATTCCCTTTATCATCAAAATTAAAGAATCCCACCTCACTGGCAATCACAGTTACAGCAGAACGAATAAGATGGTGCATTGTAAAACTGTGCACAACCGATCTCGGTTTCTTATAAACAGGTTCAATGCAGCCCTTCTCGGTTAACTCTTGAAATATACCATCAGCAATTTCCTCCGCTGTCTTTTCTCCATCAACAGGAGGGTTCACAAACCCTTCTCCAACCCACCAATGTACCAAAACCCTCTTCTTTATAGCCTCATTGGCAGGAATAGCAGCGAAACACAACAAACAGAGCTTTGTAATAACACTAAGACTGTTATAAACAACCCGAAATTCTTTAAGAGCCGGGCTATCCTTAAACACCTTACTGAAATGTAAGTCAGGCAGGCTATCAGGCCCTTTGCCAATGTCGGCCAGAACCAAAGGATTGTCCTTGTTCAACAGCATTTTGTGAGGAGACGGAATTAGGAGCTTTAGTTTCATGATTACCTTACTGTGTATCAGAAGCTTGTCCTTCAGAAATTTCTTAGCTTTGGGCTCATGGATGGGAGTCCGTGTTGGGGCAGCCAAGAGACTGTGTTGCGGTTTTAGGAGAATCTGGAAAAGATCACAAGCGCTTTCTTCAAAATTCTTGAGTCCGGAGAAAGCCTGATCAATGTAAATGAGGTCTTTGCGCAGAGCCTGATCGATGTAAATGAGGTCTTTGCGTAGCTTTTCAATTTCAGTAGCCATCTTCTTCTCATCGTCTTCATGGTTGTCGGAGAGGGAGTCTCTGGCTTTGGTGAGGTTGTTAATCAGAGCGGGAATGATGTTTCCTCTGATGTTCCCAAAGCAGTTTTTGTCGGATTTGAGAGTAGACAGAGACATGCTTCAAGTAAACAAAAGAAATCCAGAGTAAACATATGTCAAATGGAATTGAAATTTTGATTATTGTCCAATGGAATAATATAGAAAAATCTAGAATAATGGAGAATGAGCAAACCGACTTAGCAAAGTCGGTGAATCCAAAATATCATGACATCAAAGTATGCTTTAGTATAAAATAATATAATAAACTAACCGACTAAGCTATGTCAGTTAGAACTCTCCTATATATAGGCTTGTCTCCTCCATTCAAATAAAATTACTATGTTACTCTTTCAAAAGTTTTCTATTCATAGTCAAGCTATTGTCCTATACACTAAAACCAATCATTTCCTAAACCTCGTCATCCATAAATTAACAATTATACTGTCAACATGGTAACGAGATATTTGCTTGTACAAACAGCAATAAATAATTCACTCATGGGGCATTTAGCACAAAAATTATCCACAAATAATAACAGAATGATGTGTTTTCCGTACATTGCAAGAAATGGTAAGCAGTTAGCTTTAGCTAACAGAGGAATTATATAATTGAAACTAATTTCAACAAAAGAAAAAGAAGCAAAACTTACTCTTGAGTTCAGGAGGCCTTGATGTTCTTCAAACTGTAACAGAATGTTCCAAATCCAATCACAGTGATTTAGAACCAACAAAATTAATAAATATATATCAAAAACCCATTACCTTTAAAAGCACGAAAGCATCAATTCTTTGCTGAGAGAGTGAGTTTTTACTCCCTCTTTGTTGAGGCTGCTTTCCATGTGGGGCTTAGGACTAGTAGGGGCCTTCACTAATGACTGGATGAATGGATACTTGGGGAGGAAGATGTACATCACCTTTAAAGGACAATCATGGAAATGTCATATAGAAGATATGCATCACTTCGTTGGAGATCCTTAATTTCAAAACTCCTTCACCCATGTGTGAGTAAAGGAATGAACCAGAGAAGGCATGTTACCCGTGAGATGAATATCGCGTCAACGTATATGAGAAGAATCATAAATTGAGAATCTCGGTGAAAGGTGAACCTGGAAGCATCGGGCTTGCTTTCAATAAAACCATAGGTGATGATGAAAGAGCTAAAGCGGTGAAACCATGTACGCGGTGCTTGCTTTAAGCTGTAAGTGGCTTTGTGGAGTTTATAAGTATATGAGGACATACGATAAGGGTTAACGGAACCTGGTGGTCGAGTCATATACACTTCTTCAAGATTCACTTGAGTGATCCATGGAGGAAGCCATTTTTGACCTCTAACTAATGTGAAGGCCAACCATATGAGACTGAAACGGGGAGAACCATGGGAATGGATTTTGTCTCATGTAATGGGAGGCATTGTAATGTTCTCTCATGTTAAAATTAGAACAACAATTAACAAAATGAAGCATTTATTGAAACTGTGAGGATTTATCAGTTATGTCCTGTGCAGAGTATGGAAGCTGGAGGAGGTGTTGACTGTAGAAAGTCCATGAAGATATGGTTGACAAAGATTGCAGTACATGATCATGAACCCATCCTACATTCCAAACCAATTCTACCAGTAGCATGGAAAAGAGAGTTAAACACTTCAACTTGTTCAAAGATGTAAATAGTTTAGCCGAGTTGGCAGCGTAAGATACCTACCCTTCCAAGCATTTCCCAAGATTCTAAATTTATTATTTGAGTTTTACCCTTTAATTCAATTTAGAATTTGTCTAATTTCAACATTAGAAGCAAAACAAAAAACCAAAAAAAATAATGCTAAATAAGGATCACAACCTACTGCTTTCAGTATGGAAGCAGAGCAATCAGTGTCAGGCAAATTATGGTCTTTTTGGTGCTTTGTTTGAAGTCGCCAAAAGGGTTCAGCTTTTCAGTTTCCATATAAATCAGGTAAATTTTGCAAAGTACATGCTTTTCAACATTGGATATAAGTTAACTACGAAAAATTACAAACTCATTTAACATGAGTGCAGGATCAAAGTTGATCTCTTAATTATGATGATATATTTCTAGATTAATAGATCAAAACCTGATAGATTTCGAAAGCAAAATACAATTGGGAAGCATTAGATTACTATTATTGATACCTATGGATTCCACAGCGTAGATTACTTCGGAAGTTCTTCTTGCATTGCCTGTCCCATCATTTTTGCGGCTAATGGAAGGCCGCCACATTTTTGATTGATTTCCAACTTCAGATCTTCCAAGTTTGGGGGATTGGATAGAATCAGATCATTCTCAACTGCGTCTTTGAATATTTTCCAGCAGCTTTCGGGGTCTGAAAGGGGCAAAAGGCGATGTATATTTTCTTCTCCAACCATCATCTTGGCTAGTTCTTCATTCCTACTTGTGACTATGACTCTACCCCCATCCCCTTTTGGCAATCCGAATGCAAACCCATCATCCCATTTCTTATCACGGCTCAAACAAGAATCCAACTGTCCGTACCACGAATCGGTCTCCCTAGCATCATCAAGCACAATCAGATACCTCTTGCCCACCAATTGCTGGTAGAGAGCACAAAGCAGTCCTTGAAGGCCACTCTTCTCATTGAAAATGAAATTGACCATTTTCTTTTCAACTCCAAGCTGCACCAACATTCTTTTCACAATTGCTAGTTTTGGATCCTCATCGTCATCCGGGTGTCTGGCCATGCACACCCAGATCCTTGGAAGGAAGTTGTTTTTCACCTCTGCTTTGTTGAATATCAATTGGCAAAGTGTTGTTTTTCCTATCCCTTCCCTACCAACAATGCCTACTGCCTTGAACCGATCATGACTTTCTTTTTCAAGAAGCAACTTTTCCATTGACACCACATTATCATCAAATCCATAAACCTTGGAATCATCTACTACACGAGTAGTCCACCTCGAAATCTCTGTGTGCTGTAAGCTTGTCTCTTTGTCCTGTGTGCTTGAAACACCATTGTTAGGTTGTAGTTTATCTTTCGTAGCCTTGAGTTCCCTCTTGATCTTATTTAACTCCCTCCTGATTCTGTTAATGGTGAGCAGGTCCTCAGGAGAGTTGAAACCGTGTTTTCTTGTTAGCATCTGGCACTCAGTGAAAACATTGTTGAGGTAGAAAAGCTTGTCCCTGATGGATGAATCCACAGGGGAGGATGAGCTGAAAATGTCTACAAGCAAAGACTTTATTTCTTGAAATTGGTTGTACCTGGGAATTTTGGAGATACTTTTGTCTTTCCCATCAAGACCATTTCGGAATTTTAACATTAGATACTGCTCTATTTCTTGAGCCATAGGAACTTTCTCTGCAACTCTCTGTTGTTTATTCAAACTTGTAACAGCAACTGCAGCTCTCTGCTGCACAAAACCCAGAGGTGAGGATGTAATAAGAACACAATTCTGAAGGATAAAGAAGAAAGATAGAGAAAAAACCTGATGACTTGGGTGGACTGGAAACTGAAGAACCAAGCTGTGCAAAGGACTAGTGAGAGTCTGCTTTCCTGTTGATTGAGTTCATTTGGTACGACCACTTCTCAGCCATTCTAGGAGTCAACTGTGAAGTCTCTGTAAAATATCCCATAAATAAAATAAATTTTCTGAGGAAATATAATTGCAGCAGTGTTGTAAAATATCTTATAAATGAAATTGATTTTATTGTCATACGTAAAAAATAAAAAAAATATTCAAAGATCATTATGATTATTAAAAAAATTCTTTAGAAAGCTATTAAATTTAATATAAGAAAAAAGAATGAAACACACAGTTGTAAGATAGAAACCCAACCAGTAGCAAAAACAAAATTGGGGAACATGGTGGCCCAGTGAAGCTATCATATAGTAATGTAGAGGAATGCACCCAAATACTTGTTTGGCTGGAAGCCTGGAAGGTCATGACTATCAACTTGAGCCAACTAATAGCTTCTTCGAATCACTGTGGCTGACAGCAGTTATTATTAAAATCAGATTATTTTTTCATTAACTAAATAGGTAGGTGGAAGAAAACTTTTCAAGAAAATGATTTTTGCTCCAAATAATAAGCAATACCAAACATGTACCAAAAGCAACTTTTAGCTTTTGCTTGGTGGGGTGCATGTAAGCACCTTTGGCTTTTGACTAACTTATCAATATTGCTATATCAATCTATGAAAACGAGGCATTGTAACTGTGGGAGCGATTTTCGTCCCTAAGAATATTCGTTTGAAGATCCCTTCTTTATCTTCGCTTCTCTTTCTCCTTGCAAAACAATACAGAGTAAAAGACCACACCCGGGGGGTGTTGGCCAAAGGCCTTCCGATGCCTAAGTTAGGTTGAGTGTTTGTAGGAAAAACAATAGCTAACAAACAATAGCTAATAGAAGTTTTGGCCGGTTTCGGCCCTTGATTCCGGCCACCTCCAGTCACTTTTTGGGGTTGGTCCAAGAACAAAATATGCTCCACTCAATGTTTGAATCATGTAGTAGGTATAAGTCTTGACCCGCGGTTTTTAGTTTTTTTGATCGCCGGAAATCGCTTTGGGCACCCATGCGTTGCCGGCGCGTGGGGCGGAGCTTGGGCCACTTCGTAGCCAGTCTCTTGGTTCTAAAATGATCCCCAAGTCATCCCGAGCACGACGGTATGCTCGGATTTGAATTTGGTTATCGTTTGATCATCGATCGGATATCGCATATTAGGCGTTATCCGGGTTCAATATGTTCGGACCGTTGGATTGACTTCATTTTAATATATGTTGATCTAGGCATCTCTTGGATCGCGTAGGAATTCGCGGATCATGAATCGGAACCCCGGATGTTCTGATTCAATAACTTAAAGTTTGCGTTAAACGATAACCGTCCGATCGTGCGATCATGAGCTATCCGACTGTTCGATTCGGACCAAACTTGCAGGACGTGTGTCCTAAACCTTGTTGAACCTATAGGAACTTTCAGATCGTAAAACGAAGGTCGTGGGCCCCGTGGGCCCAGTTGACCCAATTTGGAAAGTTTGACCGCTCAGTTGATCGAGCGTCTTCCGAGGCTATCCTATCATCCAAAACACGTAGTTGGACTTTAGGAACGTTTCATT